AATTTTTACAACTTCCAAATTTTCAAAAATTTTTCCAGCTTTGCAAAACCCCTAAGAATTTGTAGAATTTAAATGGTTATCAAATTTTAGATTTATCAAACTTTCCGTAGTTTCTAGAATTCTACAATCGCAGTTGATAGAATTCTAAGTTTCCTAAATTTTCACAACTTTCACACCGTTTAGAATTTCTAGATGTTTTACATATTTCGAAGTTTCTAAAATTTTTAAAGTTTGTAAAATTTTCGTGTTTGTAGAGATTCCAAAATTTCTGTACAATCTAGAATTTTCAGAATTTCTATATTTTCTAAATTTTCTAGTAATTCTAGATTTCTCGAAGCTTCTAGAGTTACAAGAGCACCCATGTAGAGTTTAAGGGATTCTGAATTTTAAGAGATTCCCAAGTTTTCAAAGTTCACAAATTCTTCCAGGTTTGTAGAATCTCCAGTTCTTCTACATCTCCTGAATTGCCACAAAAGACAGTTGATATGATTTTGTCAATTCTAAAGTTTCCAAAACCTTGGCGCCTTTTAGAATTTCTAGATTTTTTACAGTTTTCGAAGTTTCTAAAATTTTCTGAGTTTTTAGAAATTTTACAATTTCCAAATTTTCAAAAATTCTTCCAGGTTTGCACAACCTCTAAGAATTTCTAAAGTTTAAATGTTTCTCAAATTTTAGATTTATCAAACTTTCCATAATTTCTAGAATTCTAGAATCTCAGCAATTCAGAGTAATTTCATTTTTTAAGTTTCCACAGTTGGGGTTTCACAACTTCCACAGCTTTTAGAATTTCTACATTTTTACACATTTCGAAGTCTCTAGAGTTTTTACAGTTTCTAAAAGTTTTAAAGCTTTTAAAGTTTTTATTCCAAAATTTCTGTAGTATCTAGAATTTTCAGAATTTCTATAATCTCTAAATTTTCTGGTAATTCTAGACTTCTCAAAGCTTCTAGAGTCTCGAGAGTATACATGTAGGCTTTTAAGAGTTTATCAAATTTTCAGAGTCTACAAATCCTTCCAGGTTTGTGGAATTTCCAATTCTTCTACATCTACTGAACTGTCACAAAAGACAGTTGATATGATTTTAACAATTCTGAAGTTTCCAGAATCTTCGCGCCTTTTATAATTTCTAGATTTTTTACAGTTTCCGGAGTTTCTAGAGTTTTAGAGTTTTTAGAATTCTTACAACTTCCAAATTTTCAAAAATTCTTCCAGGTTTGCAGAACCCCTAAAAATGATTAGAGTTTAAATGTTTCACCAAACTTTCCATAGTTTCTAGAATTTTAGAATCCCGGTAATTCAGAATACTTTCAGTTTTTAAAGTTTCTACAGTTGGGGTTTCACAGTCCACAAATTCTTTCACGTTTGAAGAATTTCCAGTTTCCACAACTTTCACAACGTTTAGAATTCCTAAATTTTGACACATTTAGAAATTTATACTTTCTAAAATTTTTAAAGATTTTAAGGCTTGTAAAACTTTCGTCTTTGTAGAGATTCCAAAATTTCTGTAGAATCTAGAATTTTCAGAATTTCTATATACTTTAAATTTTCTAGTAATTCTAGATTTCTCAAAACTTCTATTCTATAGTTTCGAGAATACCCATGTAAAGTTTAAAGGATTCTGGCTTTTGAAATGGTTTTAACATATTTTGATGTTTCCAGAACCGAACCTTCATGTCTTTAAGTATTTCTAGATTTTTTACAGTTTTCGAAGTTTCTAGAGATTTCAAAGTTTTTAGAATTTTTACAGCTTTCAAATTTTCAAAAAATTTTGAGTCTAGAGGTTCCAAAGTTTTCCTAGAATCTAGAATTTTCAAAATTTCTACACTTTCTAAATTTTCTACTATTTGTAGATTAAAAATTCCTCAAGGTTTACAGACTCTCCAGTTTTTTTACAGTTTCCTGTATCCCCACAGAAGACAGTTGATACGGTTTTAACAAATTCCCAAGTTTTCAGAACCTTCACACCTTTTACAATTTCTTGATTTTTTTACAATTTTCAAGTTTATAGAATTTTAAAAATTTCCTAATTTTTTCAAATTTTATTCTAGGCTCTCTAAAATTCCTAATGTTTTGACAAAATTTCCAAAGTTCTCCCGATTTTTAGAGTTACTTGAATTTTCAGAGCTTCAACAGTTAACAAGTCTCCAATACTGAGTGTGCAAAGCTTGAAAATTTCCAGAATTTTGAGTACGTTTTTAGAACTCGCAAATTGTCTAAGGTTACAGAAAGTTTTCTATGAACTTATAAACATACGATTGTTTATTTATAGAATTCAGTGTTTCCAGATTTGTGTGCCTTCCTTTCCATAGTTTTTGGACTTCGTTAGAGTCTAGACAGTTACTAGACTTTCTTAATAAAAATGTATGAAGACGTTATCAACATTTTAATAAGAACAAAAATTTTGATAAGGATGTGAAATCTTCCCCGGGGGCTTTTGACTACGTGTGTATGAAAATGTTAATACTGAGTATTATTTATTCCGAGTGACTATTAATGTTTGTGATTTTAGCTGTCAGGTTGGCAGCAATTTATGATGGCATATCTGACATCAGATTGAAATTTTGTATGTCAATTCAGTAGCTGCCATCTTCCCAATGGTTTTTAGGCGCGCTTAAGTCAAAGTTGACAACTGTGAACTGACATACTAACATTGCTGCCAATAATTCAGGATTGCCAACTCAAAAATTTACTTCAATCATTCATTTTGTTGTATAAAACCAGAATAAAAAAAAATCGCGAAACACTTAGTAAACTCAACAAGAAAACTTACAGTATTTGAGAGACTCAGAGACTGTCGTTTTCCAAAATCATTTAAACAGATATTTTCTCTAACTAACCTTGGTTTTTTCCTAGATAGCAAGTGAAGTAAATTAAATAAATCAGTGTTACCAATGCATTTTGTTGTTATTCGTGCTCTGTCAAAAATTTGCTTTTATTTGCATATGCACGATTAAGATGGCCCCCATTCAGTGAAAAACATGTTATTATTTAATCACTCAAATTTAAGTTGGCAACAATGAATATTTTAAATTAAGCACCACGTTTGATTGGTGGATTTCGTGGCACAGAATTTAAAATGTGTTTATTTTAATAGTTTAGTTTTATTGTGCCCAGATACTCCATTTTCTGATGTGATACAGGTGAATTTAAAAATGATGATAGTTAATTTTTCACATAAATTCACTTTGAAAAACTTATAACATAATCAACAAGGTATTAAAAAAATTAAAAAAAATATGCCTACAATTAAAATTAGTTAAAATAAAAAATACCTATAAGTTATTTCAACGGCACTTAAAAGATTACTTGCTGCCAATCTAAATTTGAGTGAGTAATGACGTCGTTTCTTTACCAATCATCATCATTAAATCAGCAAAGCTGGGCAAAAATCAACTGTTGCAGCTGATATTTAGTTAGAAATTTTTCATTACGTATTTTTAAAAATAGATATCTCAGTTACTTATGGAAATTTCGGAACGCGGTTTTCGCCAGTGTTTTCAGCAATTCTAAATACTACCCAAGAAACATTTTTTTTCGGAAATGATATACAGTAGAATCAGATTTTGCCAAAAAAAATGCTTTTACACAAAATGACATAAGGATTAGTATTTAAATATTTAATAAATCATTTACGTCTAGAGGACCGTGAACACGATTGGATAATAAATTTTATCTTTCGAAAAATACGTACTTCTGTCTCTTGGCCATACCGACGATAGGCTTCGATAGTAAATTTATTTTCTTCTTGAGTTCACATTTTTCCGATATAAAGAAATAAACGTGAAAATTTGATTCAAAATTTGACAACTAATTGACCAATAAATTAATTTAGCAAGAAGTTAAATGAAGCGGCACATTAATAAATGAAGTTCACAGCCAACTAGATGCAAATCATTTAATAACACTCTATATTTATACAGGTGGAGAGTATACTACAAAAATTTAAGAGTGCTTCCCTCAAAGAAAGGTTTCTGGATTTTTTTCACAACTGGGCTTAGACAAAAAAATATATCTTGATGTTTACAAAATTAACTAAAATGTTTTGTCAAAAGTTGTTTCAGAATTACATTTAAGTAAGTGTGGATTCTATAATCTTGTATAAAAATCCAGTGAATTAAACTTAAATACAATGTTTGCGTTAATATTATAAATAATGGTAATAGTTTGTGTGTGTATTTATTTGTACTATGGTCTAATGCTGAAGAATTGTGTTGAAAACTTTAAGTTTTAGAATAAATTACTGTAAAATATGTAGATATAGGGTATAAAAACATTTACCTAAGTAAAACTTCCGTTCTAAAATTTAAACTCATTGGTTCTGAATAGAAAAAATAATCATTCTTACCACATTTCTGCAGTTATGATTCTTTCAACAATCATCAAAAAATAATGTTTAAATTTGAAAATTACGGAAAAATATGACCATATTCAAAAAGCTTTTAAAAATAAGTAAAGGATAATTTTGTAAGTAGACATATTCACAAATTTTAGGAAAAAAATCACCGTTTTACTGTTGAAAATAATTATATAATTCGAGAAAATCCTTCTATTTCAAATTAGTAGTTTACTACTCTATTTATTAAGCAGAGAATTTTAATTTTTAAATTACTTCATATTTTCTTGAAATGTTAATTTTTAGTTTGAATAATTGTTTAAATTCTACACCCCCATGCCACCATATCCACTCACCTTCACACAACGGCAATCAAACTCTCGTGAAAATCCTCACCGACTATCCGACGGGATTTTCCGTTTTCTTCTCGTCGGACACGCGGTTCTCGGAGCACCGGTTAATTGTCGCGGTTCCGCGTGAAGAATGGATCACATGACACCTCGAGGTTGAGCACTTGTAATAAGTGTATTAACGAAATAAAGCTTGCAGGAAGCAAGTTGGTTATCTCAGTCGATGATATTACTGACACAAGGTATAGTTGTTCCAGTGCTCATCATCGAACCCCTCCAGCCACAGGGGTGGGTTTAATGTGCGGACACACCCCCACGCGATTTGCCGACCTCAGCCCTCAACCTGGATGATGCATCCGCCAGATTCCCCACGAATGCTCTTATTAGCTTTTCAATGGGATCATTTTGCTGGAGGTATGTGGCGGTGTGTCGGCCTCAAAGCGCACGGAAATGTCGAAATTATAATTGATCTTTTTGAGGGGTTAGGAGACGGAAGAGTGATTTCTTATGAATATGCGAATAATGGGATTGGTGGTGGTGGTGGATACTTTTTAAGTTATAAACTTTAGTGACAAATTAATACTTGTCTTGAATATCGAATAGAATCATTCTAATGTATTGATTATGATTTGTGGTTATAGATTACAAACCGTAAATTGATCTCGTAATAATTTCATTGGCCACATCCTGAGCAAAATCCGTTCAAGGATTGATTTTCTCTAAAAGCATCATGGGGTGGATGTTTATCGAAGGCAGTGTCTTTTTTGTGAAACTTGGTGCAGAAAACTCATAAAAATGTTTACAACTGCATTTTTCTAAAGCACTTTTGCAAGTAAATCGCATTTAAAATGCACTATTTAAAAATTTTAGTTAAATTTGATCCTCATGAATAGACGAAAATAACATTTCTTTGTGTTTTTGACCTGATGTTGAATAGAAATTCATTAAGCTAAAAATTCCATCAGGTCTAGTTTCCGAGATAATTTAAGAGACTTGATATTTTTGAAATGTCATTTTCTTTCAAGTTTGAGGGGGCTGAAATAATACACCCTTAAAAAAAGAAAATGAGGGAGATTCACATTTGGAATGCAAGAAAAGTAGACAGTTGTTAATATAGCAATTTATTAATTGCTTAACTCAGAAAAAACTGATGTAATTTACCTTCAAATTTTTTAAATTTCATAATACATATGTCGAATTCGCATATTTTAACATCTCCCAACAAATTTCGATCATATTTAATTTGAAAAAGTTTACATCAGTCTTCAAGCTTTTACATTTTTACCAAAAAACTAAAACTTTTTCCAGTTTACGTGTTTTTTTTCTTCAAAAAAAAATCATCTCTTGACAATAGATTCATTAAAGTCATAGCTTTACGGCTCGACATTTTGAATATCTTAATTTCGACATTTTAAGTTCTAAAGGTTCAACACTTTTAAAAATCGAGGCTTCAAAATTACAAAATTCGGTTAAAAAAGTGACCTTTTCAATCCCTCGTGATTTTTTCCAGAAAATAGCTTTGATATTAATTTTGACATAAATCTCAATCTTTATTTGTCAAAGTGAACCCTTTGACTTTTGGAATCTTCAAATTTTCAATTTTTAAATTGTGGAGCTTCAATATTTAATAACAATGAAAATCCTCGGCTATTTTTAATCAATTTGACATTCATTTTGACATCAGTGCCAAATTTTTATTTGTCAAAACCGACACCTTGACGTTTTAAATTTTGTACTTCAACTTCTAATTTCTAGAGCTTCGATATTTATAGTAATTAAAAACCTCGGATTTTTAAAAACCCTTCGAGATTATTGACATGAATCCCATAACTTTGTTTGTCAAAGTAGGCCTTGATTTTTAAATCTTGAACTTAAAAGTCCGGGTTTTTTAAATATTTTTGTCATTAATTTTGACATCAATCCCAAAATGGATCCTCCGAGTCCCATTTCTTTTTTAATATTTGACATTCATTGAGGTCAATCCCAAATCTTTATTTGCCAAAGCCGGCTTCGTTTTTGCGGTTCATTTTGACATCGGTCTCAGTCCTTAATTTGGCAAAGTAGAAACCAGGACCTTTTAAGGCGTGAACTTCCATTTCTAAATTCTAGAAATTTAATATCAATTAAAAACAACGTTTTTCTTTAATTTCTGACATTAATTTTGACATCAATCTCAAATTTTTATTTGTCAGAATGGACCCTCCGACTTTTTAAATCTTGAATTTCAACTTCTAAATTCTGAAAGTTCAGTAGTAATATTAATTACAAGCCACGTTCCTTTGTTAATCTTTGACTTTCATTGAGGTCAATCCCAAATCGTTTTGTTTGTCAAACTCGGCTTCGTTTTAGAGATTAATTTTTACATCGGTCTCAATCCTTAATCAACTTTTTAAATCTTGAACTTCAATTTCTAAATTGTAGAAGTTCAATATTAATATTAATTGAAAACTCGGATTTTCTTTTTAAATCTCTGACATTAATTTTAACATCAATGGTAAATCTTTGTTTCTGTCAAAGTTGACAACCCGACATTTTAAATCTTGAGCTTCTACTTGAAAACCTGAAGCTTCAGTATTAATATCAATTAAAAGCCCCGTTTTTTTATATCTTTGACATTAATTTTGACATCAATCCCAGATTTGTATTTGTCAAAATGCCCCATTTCTTTTTTAATCTTTGACATTCATTGAGGTCAATCCCAAAATATGATTTATCAAACCCGGCTTCGTTTTTGAGATTCATTTTGACATCAGTCTCAATCCTTAATTTGTTAAAGTGGATACCCCGACTTTTTATATCTTGAATTTCAATTTCGATATTCTGAAAATTCAATAATAATATTAATTGAAAGCTCGTTTTTGTTTTTAAATCTCTGACATAAAATTTGACATCAATCCCGAATCTTTGTTTTTGTCAAATCGACTTTTTAAATCCTGAGTTTCCACTTTAAAACCTGAAGCTTCAGTATTAATATTAATCAAAAATCCCGGTTTTTTTATATCTTTGACGTCAATTTTTACATCAGTCCCAAATTTTTATTTGTCAAAATGGACCCTCCGACTTTTTAAATCTTAAACTTCAACTTCTAAATTTTGAAAGTTCAATAGTAATATTGATTCCAAGCCCCATTTTTTTTTAATCTTTGACATTCATTGAGATCAATCCTAAATCTTTATTTGTCAAAGCCGGCTTCGTTTTTGAGATTCATTTTGACATCGGTCTCAATCTTTAATTTGTCAAAGTGAAAACCTCGACTTTTTAAACATTGAACTTCAATTTCTAAATTCTGGAAGTTCAATACTAATATTAATTAAAAACTCCGGTTTATTTAAATCTCTGACATTAATTTTGACATCAATTCCAAATCTGTGTTTTTGTCAAAATGGACAACTCGACTTTTTAAATCTTGAGCTTCCACTTTAAAACTAGAAGCTTTATCATTAATATTAATTAAAAGCCTCGTTTCTTTTTATACCTTTGACATTAATTATGATATCAATCTCAAATTTTTATTTATCAAAATGGACCCTCCGACTTTTTAAATCTTGAACTTCAACTTCTAAATTTTGAAAGTTCAGTAATAATATTGATTTCAAGCCCCATTTCTTTTTTAATCTTTGACATTCATTGAGGTCAATCCCAAATCTTATTTGTCAAAGCCGGCTTCGTTTTTGAGAATCATTTTGACATCGGTCTCAATCTTTAATTTGTCAAAGTGGAAACCTCGACTTTTTAAACCTTGAACTTCAATTTCTAAATTCTGGAAGTTCAATATTAATATTAATTAAAAACTCCGATTTATTTAAATCTCTGACATTAATTTTGAGATCAATCCCAAATCTGTGTTTTTGTCAAAATGGACAACTCGACTTTTTAAATCATGAGCTTCCACTTTAAAACTTGAAGCTTTAGCATTAATATTAATTAAAAGCCTCGTTTCTTTTTACACCTTTGACATTAATTATGACATCAATCTCAAATTTTTACTTATCAAAATGGACCCTCCGACTTTTTAAATCTTGAACTTCAACTTCTAAATTCTGAAAGTTCAGTAGTAATATTGATTTCAAGCCCCATTTCTTTTTTAATCTTTGACATTCATTGAGGTCAATCCCAAATCTTATTTGTCAAAGCCGGCTTCGTTTTTGAGATTCATTTTGACATCGGTCTCAATCTTTAATTTGTCAAAGTGGAAACCCCGACTTTTTAAATATTGAACTTCAATTTCTAAATTCTGGAAGTTCAATATTAATATTAATTAAAAACTCCGATTTATTTAAATCTCTGACGTTAATTTTGATATCAATCCCAAATCTGTGTTTTTGTCAAAATGGACAACTCGACTTTTTAAATCATGAGCTTCCACTTTAAAACTTCAAGCTTTATCATTAATATTAATTAAAAGCCTCGTTTCTTTTTATACCTTTGACATTAATTATGACATCAATCTCAAATTTTTATATGTCAAAATGGACCCTCCGACTTTTTAAATCTTGAACTTCTACTTCTAAATTTTGAAAGTTCAGTAGTAATATTGATTCCAAGTCCCATTTCTTTTTTAATCTTTGACATTCATTGAGATCAATCCCAAATCTTTATTTGTCAAACCCGGCTTCATTATTGAGATGAATTTTGACATCGGTCTCAATCTTTAATTTGTCAAAGTGAAAACCTCGACTTTTTAAAGCTTGAACTTCAATTTCTAAATTCTGGAAGTTCAATATTAATATTAATTAAAAACTCCGGTTTATTTAAATCTCTGACATTAATTTTGACAACAATCCCAAATCTTTGTTTTTGTCAAAGTGGAGAACTCGACTTTTTAAATCTTGTGCTTCCACTTTAAACTCCGAAGCTTCTGTATTAATATTAAATAAAAGCCCCTGTTTTATATCTTTGACATTAATTTTGACATCAGTCCCAAATTTTTAATTATCATAATGGAGCCTGCGAATTTTTAAATCTTGCACTTCAACTTCTAAATTCTGAAAGTTCAGTAGTAATAATAATTAGAAGCCCCTTTTCCTTTTTCAATCTTTGACATTAATTGAGGTCAATCCCAAATCTTTAATTGTCAAACTCGGCTTCGTTTTTGAAATTAATTTTGACATCGGTCTCAATCCTTAATTTGTCAAAGTAGAAACCTTGACTTTTTAAATCGCGAACTTCAGTTTCTAAATTCTGGAAGTTCAATATTAATATTAATTCAAAACTCCGGTTTTTCTAAATCTCTGACATTAATTTTGACATCAATCTCAAATCTGTATGTTTGTCAAACTGGACAACTCGACTTTTTAAATCTTGAGCTTCCACTTTAAAATTTGAAGCTTTAGCATTAATATTAATTAAAAGCCTCGTTTCTTTTATACCTTTGACATTAGTTTTGACATCAATCCCAAATTTTTATTTGTGAA